CCCCACAGGTACGGCCCGGAGCCCATCATCCCAGACCCCCGCCTGCAGCAGCTCTGCTACAGCCACGGATACTCCAACTCCCTCAGGCGAGCCCTGACGAGTCAGGAGGGAGGAGGGAGGAGGAGGAGGAGGAGGAGGAGGAGGAGGAGGAAGAGGAGGAGGGAGGAGGAGGAGGAGAGGAGGAGGAGAAGGAGGAGGAGGACAGGAGGACAGGAGGAGGAGGAGGAGGAGGAGGAGGAGGAAGAGGAAGGAAAGGAGGAAGAGGATGAGGAGACACAGTATCCAAGTATCCAAGTAAGGATTCTGGCAATTGTATACAATTTAAGGGTTCTTGCTGCCGAAATTGGCACGACCTTGGACGACGGGGAGCGGCTGGGGTGCATGCCCGACGCCACGCGCCCACTCAACATCGCCAGCGGGGACAGCCGGATCCTGGCCAACGCAGTGCGGCTCCAGCTGGAGGAGTGCGTCGCTCCTTGGATCTCACGAGAAAAGCAAGGCTTTCTGCTGGGCCGATCGATGATCAGCAACATCCTGGCGGTCGACGAGCGCATGATGAAGGTGGCCCTCACAAAGGATGCAGGAAGCGCGGTCTTCCTCGACTTCCGCGCTGCGTTCCCGAGCGTCATGAGGTCGTATATGCTTTTTACTTTGGCCCACGTAGGCCTCCCCACAGAATTCAACATCATCACGACGCTGTACCACAACAGCTGGTGTTGGCTGGTGGTGGGAGAGGGACAGCACGCGGGCTTCTACGTCGAGCGGGATCAAACAGGGTTGCCTGCTCTCCCTGGTGATCTTTGCGATCGTGGCCGACTTGCTGCTGCGCCGCCATTCGACGCGCGGTACCAGGTACTCTCACCAGGGCCTACGCCGACGGCGTTGCCGTGGTCCTCTGGGATTGGCGCGAGTCGGCTTCGCAATTAGCGTCCTTTCAGGCAGAGTACGGCACAATATCCTGTCTGGAGCTGAACATGGACAAGTGCTTCTGGGTGGACCTCAATGAGCCGAACCCGGCTGGCAGATGCCTGGCGCACGGTGCAGCAGGACGTGCCGCAAGGGGGGGGGATGCATGTTGACGACTTTGCAAAGTACCTGGGGGTGTATCGGGGCCCAGGACGGGCGGCCAAGTCTTGGCAGAAACCGATGCGGAAGTATCTTGAGCGGTGGTCCTGGGGCCGGGTTGGAGGCGGTTTGCACGTCGCCGCGCTCGCATACTCCGTCTATATCCTGCCTGTCTTGTCCTACGTGGCACAGCTGGAGAAGCTCCCGCCAGGATGGGAGAGCCTGGAGGCCAGGTGCATGAAGAACTTGGTGCGCCGCCCTGGCAACGGCTCCCTGCTGTTGCTGTTGTCGTACTTGGACTCCGACGGGACTGCCGAATTCCTTCGCAAGAGTGGCGTTCATGACCAAGGTGGCGAAGCTCCGGATCGCCACCCAGGAGGCGGGATCCACGGGCGGGCTCCGGGTCCGGGCGCGGGCGCGAGCATTTCGCTGGCTGGAGAGCAACACGGACAAGGTCATCTGGGTTGCCCAGTGGCGTGCGTGGTTTGATGGCAGCATCTTGCACACCCTCTCGCAGGCGGTTGAGGATCTCAGATCGCGCGGCATCACCGTCGCGGGCCCTTGCCGTGGGCACGGCCAGCAGCTCGTCGGGTTCAACAGGGACTACAGAGAGCTGCGGTTCGCGCCCAACTCGCCCTCGCCCCGAGGATCGCTGATCTTCATCCTTTACTCGGGATGATAGCTGACCGCTGGCGGCTGAATGTCCTCCCCGGCCGTCGGGTCGTCCGCTTCTTGTCAACAGTCAACTGGCTTCGGAGGCATGCACAGCCGAGGGTGGTCAGTGCAATGCTTCGCACTTTCACCAACTGTTGAGTGTCCAGGAGACGCATGCAGAATTGACGCGCTGTGGACATGAAGATTCGACCCAGCACTATGCCACATGCAAGCACATTCTAGCGTTTGGCACTTCTGACCTCTTGGTGCAGCCGCTCCCGCAGGAGGGCCGCCTGGCGGGCTTCACGGGCGTTGTGTGCGCGCAGCCTGGTTGGGAAATCAGCACGAAGTGCTGCGGCGGGCCCTGCTAACGACTGCCACATACAAGCTCCACTGTTGGTGGCGACACCACCCTGGACCTTGTCTGGGGCTAACCTCGATGCTCCGGTCGCTGCGGGCCCATTTGCGCGAAGTGCTGGCGGCCCACTTGTGCGAGCACCACGACACCGACGACGACGGGTTTTCGTGATTGCCTTTTTTGTGCAGGCCCTGTCAGAGTTTTTGCGTGGGGGGCTCTGACGGCGGGCCTGGGGACCGCACGTCTACTTAGCCTTCCTGCCTCCCTCCCCCCCCCTCGTCTCCCTAGCTAGGGAAATGACGATTTTCGCCGGTTGCATGCGCGTTCGGCGCGCGCTCTCGGTCTTGTGACCGCGGTCGGCCAATTCCAGGACCCCGATGCTTTGGGCTTGCCCCAATTTGCTGTTTCATGGCCTGCGCGCCCACTGCTCCAAAGAGTGCTGGGGAGGGTCGGCACATTTTTGCATCACAATTTGCATCACTTTGGGATTTCATTGGTTGGTGAGCGATTGGACCCAACGTGCTGTAGCCTTGTCCTGCTTTTAGATTTGCTCGCCGCCGTCTGCGGCAGAAGGGGGCGGGATTTGTCCTCCTCACCTTGCGCCTGCAGCAGGCAGTATGTCATTTTGAATGTACCGGTCTATCCTCGATTTGAGGCCTGGTTTAGCTCCTTTCTCTCCTTCCTCCTCCTCTTCCCTCGTGTGGCTGGTGTCTTGCTTATTTACGGCATGGGCCAGGGTTTGAAGCAATTGACGTGAGGGATAGCCGCTTTTGGCACCCACGCTGCCCAATCTTCCTCCTCGTCTTCCTTTTCTCGTGAGATGTTGCGGTCGTGCGCGGGATACTCGTTAGATGTTGCGGTCGTCCCCGTAAAGCGAGCGAACCTTCAGACGAGTTCGTCGGACAAAAGTATGCAAGTAAGGATTCTGTCATCCCCCCCAGTTGCCGCCCTCACACCCCCCAGCGGCAGTTAAGTAGTTATTTTGCAGAGGCAGTTCACGGAGGACTGCGCCTCCCGTCAGACTTGACGTTACAAAGCAGTGCGTAATCCCAACACATCGCCACTTGAGCCCCGCACCCCATCCTTCTGCGCCGTTTTTGGAGCCGGATCGATATGTGCGGGTCTCTGGGGCCGGAAGCCTAGCTAAAACGCCCGCTGTGAAAAAGGGTGCAGTGGCAAGACCACCGGATTTTTTTGCCCTCTCTGTCAGGCGTGCCCTCGTCTCCTACGTGGTCTACTCCTGCGTGGTCTTCATCGTGATGTGCTGCTGCGACCCCACGTACGGGATCCTCATCATTCTCGCCCGGGAGGAGCACAGGGGAAAAAACACACACAAATCATCGTCGATTCCTGGGAAAAGACGGCAACATATTGGAAGTGGTGGAAAACGAAATTCGAACAAGTATGGAAAAGTATTGGGAATCCTGCGACTTGGGCCCCTTCAGAGGAGCGCTGCGGGAAGGGGCTGCGGGAGAGGGGGCGGCAGGGGAGAGAGGCGCAGGAGGAGGGCTTGCGCTGCCGGCTTGCGCGAGGAGGAGGAGGAGGAGGAGGAGGAGGGAGGGGGAGGAGGAGGAGGAGGAGGAGGAGGAGGAGGAGGAGGAGGGAGGAGGAGGAGGAGGCGGAGGAGGAGGAGGAGGAGGAGGAGATGTCTCGCTCGCCCTCGAGGGCTCGAAATTATTGCGAAGGCCTTCCGGCTGGTGCCGCCGACCCTCAGAACGACGAAGATGAAAACGAGGGGGGGGGCAGGGGGAGGAGGCTGTTTGGGAGGTGGAGGAAGGGTGGAGGAGGCGGATGAGGGAGGAGGAGGGGGGAGAAGGATGTGGAGGAGAAGCAAGAGGAGGAGAAGGAGGCAGAGGAGAGCAGGAGAGGGGGGAGCAGAGGGGGGGGAGGAGGAGGAGGAGGAGGAGGAGGAGGAGGAGGAGGAGGAGGAGGAGGAGGAGGATGAGGAGGAGGAGGAGGAGGATGAGGAGGAAGAGGAGGAGGCCAGAGGCTTTCTTGGACAGCCTGGGGCTCTCTTGAGGCCGTCTTGGGCCGTCCAGGGCTCCTCTTGCGCCGTCGCGAGGCACTCCTGGAGGCCTCCTGGGCAATTTGAGGCTCTCCTGGGCTGCCTTGGGGCAGTTTTGGGGCCCCTTCGGAGCCTATTGGGGCCTCTTGGGGCTTCTTCGGGGCCTCTTGGGGGCCTCTTGGGGCTGAGAGCTCGAAATGTCCGTTTGGGTCTCCCGTCTGGGCACTCTCCTGGAGCCGTCTTTGGGGCCGTCTTGGGTCGTCTTGGGGCCCTCTTCTGCCATTAGGGGACTCTCTTGGGGGCCTCTTGGGCCGTCTCGGGGCGATCTTGGGGGCCTCCTGGGCCGTCTTGGCGCGTCGGGAAGCGGAAGAGGCAAGAACGCCGTCGGACAGCAGAAAAGGCGAGAAGGCTGCAATCATTGAAATCTTATTATAAAATGAACGATTTTAGCTCCTGGGGCTCTCTTGGGCTTACTCTTGGCGCTCTCTTTGAGCTTCTCGGGAGACGCAACGATTTTAGCTCCTGGGACTCTCTTGGGCTTGCTCTTGGCGCTCTCTTTGAGCTTCTCGGGAGACGTTTGGGCCGTTTTCGGATAGTATTGAACGTCTTGGGGCGATCGTTCGTGGATGCGTTGCGCTCTTGTACCGTCTTCGGGATGTATTCTTTACGCTTCGCGTATCCCCACCAGCCCATCTCACAGCAGCAACTCTCGCGAAGCATGCCGACAGTCGTGTTTTTCAGGCGTGTGTCCGCTTGGCCCCGCATATCTCCCCTGTTCCTCCTTCCTCCCGCCTCCTTGTACATCCTCCTTGTGGGGGGAGCGGGAGAAGGACGAGGCGAAGGAGGAGGGAGAGAAAGCGCTCCTCGTGGTTTGAGTCGTTTGGGGTTTCTCGTCCTGGTCTGAGTCGTTCGGGCCCTTCTTCCTGGTGTGAGTCGTTCGGGCTCTTCGTGGTGTGAGTCGTTCGGGCTCTTCGTCCTGGTGTGAGTCGTTCGGGCTTCTCGTGGTGTGAGTCGTTCGGGCCCCTCCTCCTGGTGTGACTCGTTCGGGCTCCTCGTGGTGTGAGTCGTTCGGGTCCCGCGTCGTGGTGTGAGTCCTTCGGGCTCCTCGTGGTGTGAGTCGTTCGGGCGCCTCGGGCTCAATCTGGGCCGTTTTCGGATAGTATTGAACGTCTTGGGGCGATCGTTCGTGGATGCGTTGCGCTCTTGTACCGTCTTCGGGATGTATTGGGGCGCTCTTGGCTCGTCTTGTAGCTTTTATTGGTCTTGCTACTTCCCGGGAGGAAAACGAATCTGGGTGGCGACCCCGCCCAGGACCCTCCCAGGACCCCCCCAGGACCCCCCTAGGACCCCCCCGGGACCCCCCCGGGACGAACCCCCCCGTGCGGGGAAGGGATCAAAGGGAAGGGGCTTCCCTTCGATTGAACTACGACGTTGCTCCATTTCGCTGTGGACGGCTTGTCCGAGGAAGAAAGCCCAGGTGAGTGGAACTCAGGAAGACGGAGACGAGAACGGCTTGTCTGAGGGAAAAGGCCTAGGTCAGTGGAACTCAGGAAGACGGCGACGACGAGCCGAACGGGAAAGCCCGACTCGAACGGAGGAGCCCCTCACACACACGCCGACAGGGTTGGCGGATTCGCGCTTCGCGCTTCGCGCTTCGCGCTCCGCGGTTCGGCTCCGATTCCTCATCCTTTTCTCCCGTGGGGGCCGGCGCGAGAGCGGGAAGTTGTTCGCGCTTCGCGCTTCGCGCAGCGCGAAGTGCGAAGTTAGGCGCCACAGCATAGACACAGTTCTCGAGGAGAGAGGTGTGCTGCACGGAGGGCCAGTGAGCCTTGTCGTTTGTGAATGCCCCTGGCGCGCATACTCTTGGTGAGTGAATGAAGGGAGGTTGAGGAGAATGCTGGGGAGGAGGTCGAGGAGGAGGTAGAGGAGGAGCACCAGGATGAGGATCTCTGGCAGCGTTGCCGGTGATTCCGGCGCCGCCCTTGGCCTTGTCCACGCGCTATGGAGGGGGGGGTCCAGCGCCGAACCAAGGAATCCGCGCGGATCTCGGACAGTTTATGGTGTCGCCTTTCTGTTGCTCCTCTTACGCCAGTCCAGATTCGTGGCTCCTCGATGGGGCTTCAAAGCGATCTCCCAAGGGTTGCCTCCCAAGGGGGGAGGGGTTGGCGGCGCCCGCAATGGGGTGGTGCGTGCCTGGGTGGCCTTCTAAGAATGAGGAGGGGTAGAATGCAGGGATCTCCCAGAAGGCCCAGGAGGCTTCTAAGAAGGCTTCCTAGAAGCCAGGGGGGGCTTCTCTTAAGTCGGGCATGCCCCTCTACAGGAGGAATATTCAAACATAGTCGAGCAAACAGTCTGGGAACGATGTTTCGACTTCGTTTTGACAATTTTTGCGTGTTCTTGACTATTTCTCATTTTTCGTCCAAGATTCGCCCGTAGGAGGGCATGCCCGACCTAAGGATTCTAAGAGGCCCCCTTGCCTTCGTAGAAGCCTCCCCCCCCTCCTCTTAGAAGGGGCCGTCCCCCTCGCGCCGCCCCCTCGTGGGCGCCGCCCGCGTCCGGGGGGCAGGGGCGCCGCCGCTGGGCGCCTCTCTCGACACCTTGGCGCCTCACGTCAGAGGAGGAGGGGTAATTAGGAGGAGGAGGATGGAGGAGGAGGAGGAGGAGGAGGAGGAGGAGGGGGAGGGGGAGGAGGAGGAGGAGGAGGAGGGGGAGGGGGAGGAGGGGGAGGTCCGGGGATACCTTCTGGCCTCTCCATCACGGCGCCAGCAGGCGGCGCCACCAGCTGCGTGAGCTGATTGATTGCCCACCTCCCCCTCCGTCCTGAGGGACCTCGCGTGTTGTCGGGCGCGAGCGCGCGACGACAGGCATGTCGGTTCGGAGGCGAGTCGCGGTGGCAACGAGCTGCCCCGAAGTGCGTGCCGGGTGATCTGCAGGCCTGCTGGCGCGCCAGATTGGGGCGGCGCCTGCCCTCCCCGAAGGAAGGTGGACTGCAGATGGCACATCGAAAGGAGCGATCGTCGTGGAACGAAGGTGTCGCCTTTGCTGCCCCCCCCGCTTGCTCCGACCCTAGACTTGGGGGGAGGGGGTTTGCCGACAGGCGTCCCTGGCCCAGGGTGCCCTCGCGCTGGGCTCGGAAGGTCTCCAGGACCGCCCCTCGGCGCAGCCAACGTGTACGTCCTTCAGACGTACCCTGGTGTCGCCGCCGTGGTGCGTGGCGGGGGCCCACCTGCGCAAACCATCCAGCAACCTTCAGCACTATCCTGCACCCGACGGAGGGCTTGCTCGTACGGGTCCTGCGGAGTTTCCTCGCGACACTGTGATGACACTAGATCTGGCGAGCTGCAGGCGGGCTGGTTCTGGCTCTGGTGCACTCCAACCACTAGATTGTGTGGACATCCCTTGGCTTGCGCGGAGGGGCAGAACGCCGAGACCCCATTGCCGCTGTCTGGGTGCAGGTTTATCCCCGGCACTGCACAGTGAGCACGGGCCCCCGTACGCGACAACGAGCCAAACTACTGCATCCAGCTTCCACGAGAGCAGCGCCCGTATGGCATGACGAAGTTTACCATCTTGTGTGGAAGGCACCAGACAGGCTGCCACACGAACCGCTTATGGACTCCCTGCCCGGACATCCGGGTCTCAGCAATTGTCGCTACCATCTCCAAGGACAGCACGCTTCACAGATCACCACTTTGGGGTTGCTGAGCGCCGATCTGTCTTGATCACCTGGCCCAGGGTGCGAGAACCCACGAGAGCGCCTGTGAACCTCGAGCCTCGACGACAAGTAGCTGCATATGCACAAGCATTCGACGGTCCGCGCGGATCTCTTGGATCTGTGCCGCCTATGCAGTTCTTTCCTCCTCCAGAACCCCCCTGTGAGCCTGGTCCCCTGGCCCCCGTGAGCCTAGTCCCCTCCCTCCGCGATCGTCCCCCTGGGAGCCTAGTCCCCTCCCCCCAGCCAGGCGTACCACTCGGTCTCCCAGGTTTTCGACGCCCGGGCGCTGGTGGTGCTCTGCGCGCTGGCTTCCGTGGCCCCCCGGGGGGGCCTGCCCTTTTTTGGGAACGAGTGGCAGTGGGCTGTGAGGAGCAGGAGGAGGAGGAGGAGGACGTTGAGGAGGAGGGAGATGGTGATGATGATGATGATGATGATGATGATGATGATGATGATGATGATGATGATGATGATGATGAAGATGCTGATGATGACGATGATGATGATGAGGATGATGATAATGATGAAGACGACGACGACGACAATGATGATGACGACGATGATGATGATGATGAGGATGATGAGGATGATGAGTATTACGATGATGCTGATGCTGATACTGCTGATGATGATGATGATGATGCTGATGATGCTGCTGCTGCTGATGATGATGATGACGATGACGATGACGATGATGATGATGATGCTGCTGATGATGATGATGATGATTATGATGATGATTGATGATGATGATGATGATGATGATGATGATGATGATGATGATGATGATGATGATGATGATGATGATGATGATGATGATGATGATGATGATGATGATGATGATGATGATGATGATGATGA